TTTTTCAAAACCCCAATTTTATAACCAGAATAATGCAATGAACCCACAATGCATTGTGTTGTTGAGGAGACGTGTTTGAAAGGTCGCAAACCTTTAATTTATTATTTTTTTGCTGATTGTTTTATACTGTATATGATATTTGCTCCATGTACACCACTTTGCATACAGCGGTGGTTGTTTTAAAGTGCTCTATAAACACAGTTGAATTGAGTTTTTCAAGGATAACTTGAAATCAATCCCGTCATTCCGCAGCCGTCTACGTGGGATTATAATGGTCTCAATACCATGATTATTTGTTGAGTGAAGCAAGACAACAAGACAATCAAAGCACGGATTCTTGTTTTCACTTGTGGACACAGCAACTAATCATCCAGCTGCCAAAGTAGGATTTGCCACTTGTCAGATGTCGATAACACTGCTAGCTAACATTAATCAATGCCATGCTAGCATTTGTGCATTCGGGCTGCCGCTTGAAAATGGGGAAAATTCGCTAATAGAGACATTCTGAGGGGGAAAAAAACATTTTGTTTCCAAGCAACTGAAAACTTCATTTTCCGTACTGCATCCACCTCAATGTTTTGAAGGCTAGAGGTGATTCACCAAAGGGGGAAATGGTTTTAAAGTCAAAATATTTGGTGGCGATGACAAAGATTACAATCTGTAAGTGTCATGATTGAAGCTATGCCCAAAGAAACGTCATTTGGAGGGTTACACAGTGTCACGCTGATCAGTTGCTAGATGTATGGATGAAAACCTAACCGACGAATTACCTTGCAGGGTCGTCAATGCGTATGTATGTATGTATGTACGTATGTATGTATGTGTGTGTTTCTGGGATGCTGCGGGGCCCAGGAGGATGACAAATGACTTCAGAGTGTGAGGTGGCGATGGAAGAATGGATCAGAATTGGAATGAGCATTAGAATGATGAATGCGTTCGCCGCTTTTCCCACACAGGTGTCAAAGGCACGGACGGGGGCAATACGGTGTGACAGAAATTAACCACGACACAAAGACTGTCATCACAGAACGGGAAAAAACGAAATACAAATTGCACAGCACGTCATTCAGTCACCACAGTCACGCCCAATTCGACTGATATTGGAATACGAATGCGGACAAACACAGAAGAGCTAACAGGTGAAAAATCATCACTCACACCACAAGCAGATCACGCTAACACAATGTGACTGTTTTCCATCAAACCTGGGCAAAACGTTGCATCACAAAACTGAAAATCTAAAATGAAACTGTCGATTCTTCTTACATACATCATGTTCATAATTGTGTAAACATGGAAGCTCGATTGTCAAACACCTTAAAAGCGGCATATTTGGAACTCGATCAGAATGTTCAGACTTGACTTCAACGTCTGAAATTTTGTTCACTGCATTGTACTACACCTAATTTCTTTCCACTATATTTTCTTTTTACGGTTTGTGAAACAAAAAAAAAAAACCCAAAACTTTTGCCCATGAATGAAAGAGAAGGCGTCACAGTCACCTTGCATGAACATTATCTGCTGCACGGCACACATCATGTGTCACAGCGTCTCCTCAAAAACACACCTCTGATGTCACAGAAAAAGAAAAGCCACATTTTGTCTGTTAATAAAGCATTAATGTCAAAATACATCGACGGAACAGTTCCAAGACATTGCACACAGTGAAGGAGACCTAATAAAGCCAAAGCATGGCATGCAGATAGAGATTTTTAAACCACGCTCACACATCTCTCACACACAACTGTTTGCTTTCCCTAAAAATACACGAACATTCAGGCACATCGATTCTTGCAATACATGATCATGCGGCATGCCCTGCATGCACAAACTGTCGAAGACACACAGAGTTGGACTGAGAGAGGCGGAGGAGGGAGTCCCCCCCACTCAACTGAATGAGGAAGGAGCGCAGGGGGAATTTAATGACAAGAGAGTGGAGGACGAGGAGGCCCAGAGGTTCAACATAAGGCCACATGGGGTCAGAGGTCGGACAGGAAGAGCTGTGAGGAAGAAGAGCAGGTGACGGGAGGAGGAAGAGGCAGCAGATATGACATGTCGTAGATTCGGAGATCAGGAGAGAGAGAAGAGAAAGAGGCTGAGCAAAAGACAAATGCAGGGCTCTGTCTTGTTCTCAGGCACAGAGAGAAAGAAGGAGGAATAGAAACAAGGTATGAAGGCCCAGAGCACACCGTCTTCCGTGTACTGGTGCCACTTTTGACTCGTGGATTCATCCCAGACACACACGCACACATTAAAAAAAAAAAAAGACAAGAAAAAAAAAAAAAAAAAAACATTCTCACACATTCCTCATTCAGAAAATTGTGTCTAAAAATTGTTAATAGTAGCTTACAATCAAAAAAAGGAGATAGGTAACCTTTGTTTCTCATGTATGGGCTGTGAAAAAGAATGACTGGTGCTCCAGTGAGGCGGAAAGGTTGACGTGCATGCTGCTACAGAGAATGACACCATTCCTCAGACCCCCGGACGGCATCCTCCGAGAGTCATTAGCAGACCACCATGCAGCCCCGACTTCCATCCTTCCACTTACCCCTCCTGAAAAACGGGGGTCTAATAACTCGTGGCTTGTGCACCAGGCGCGACGGCCTTGTGTCCGTAACCTCTTGTGAAGCAACAGAGATAAGGTGAAAAAAAAATTTTAAAAATTAATAAAAATTGCTTTTACCCAGACTCATGGGAAGGGTTGCAGGCACGGGTAAAAAAAAAAAAAAAAAAAACACAGCTCACCATGACAACCTCAAGGCTTTTGAAGACTGTGAGCAATATGGAGGTAGAGTTCACTTCCAATATATGACATCAAATAGGCATCCAGTTCAGTAACATTAAACTCAAAGATGATGTACAATTTTTTAGCCGAGTTAAAAATGACAAATTGACGCTTAATGCTATTTTTACTTCCACTAAAGCAAAAAGCAAGAAGGTTTTCATCAGTGTGGGTTCATTCATTTATTTTCCAAACGAATATGGACGCCAACTTTTGTGTAATTAAGGTGGAGGTCTGCAATCTCAGAATTAGGTTTGGGGTGGGCATCATATGGCCCGTGGCCAAGTTCACTCTTTAATCCGGTCTGCAAAGCATTCACGCCCTGTAATATTTGTTGCATTCGTGAAAGACATTTTTCCCCCTCAGATTACCATGAAGTGAGTCTATTTATTTTATTTTTTTATTAAGTTTGCTTTCATTTATCTCATTGAAGAATTTTTTTTTGTTTACTGATTCATTTATGTGTGCATAAAATATTTTATTCACACAGAGACACACACACACACAGTACAACTTTTTTGAAAAAAAAAAATATATATGTATGTACATACATCTCAAACAAACAAAAACGACAAAAAGGCAAAATGAACAATATGGTACTGTATTGACAAAATGTTTCATTTATTGTATTAAATAACTGATTAATTAATTAAAATTACACTACAGATAATACAATTAAAACATTAAATTTAGAATTTACCAATTAATTATTTTATTACTGAAATTAAATATTTTACAAATGATCAGTGTTAAAAATCTATACTTTGGAACACAATTAAAACATTCCATTTAAAATGTAACAATTAATTATTTCTAAAATGAAATATTTTACATATGACCACTGTTAAAAATCTATACTTTTGATGAGTCCCCATTTGGGTCTGTTATTTTTACAAATATCGATTCATTTCAAGTGTTGAAAATGTCTTGCGGTCTTTGCAATGAAATGTTAATGGTTCAACAAAAGTGTTGCTCTTGGAAATGAGACCATACCTCCTGGCGCCAGCAATATTTTACATGCACATTTTATATTTTAGCTCATCAAAAAAATGCCTTGCCTCATCTGTCTGTTTTATATGAAATATGGCCTTTGACCACAAAAGTTTGCCTACCCTTGGGTTTTTAATCGTAGTTGCACTACTCTTATTTTGTACAAGTAGCAGTCGGCTAAAAATAAACATAGCGCTGGGTTTGGCCATAAATGTTGGCCTTGCAGGAATACTGGAGGCAGCAAACTAATACCGCGCAGTATAAATTCATTTCTCTTTGTTAATGAGCAATTTTTCATCTGCCCTTTGTGTGTCAGTGTGGGTGTGTCGTACCATTGATGGTACTGGGCGAGAGCAATGTGGAGTCTCGATCGCCCAGTCGGCAAGCGCCCTCCTCTGAAGAGCCGGGTGCCAGTTGTGTGGCCTGAGCCTCCAGGGAGCTCACGATGTCTGCACGGTCAATGTTCTTCAACGCAGTGTACAGACTCTCCACTGAGGGGGGGATGGTGTGTATCAGAACCATCTTATCACCAACCTTCATTTACACAGTAGTAAAGCCATAACAGTAGGCATTTGTTTGAAAAACGGGGATGGTGTGTATCAGAACCATCTTATCACCAACTTTCATTTACACAGTAGTAAAGCCATAACAGTACGCATTTGTTTGAAAAACACTCAATCATGTCCTCTGACCACCTAAAAAAAAAATTCATTGCGCACTATTTGTACCCTCGAAACGTCTTAAGTCAGGGCTGTTGTAAACCGAGGACCCGCTGTATTAGGAAAGGCGGACATACTCTTTGCCCTCTTGCCCTCTCTAGCAACCCAGAGGTTGAGCAAGGCGAGGCTCTGGTCCAGCAGAGAGTTGGGGTTCTCCACGCGGATCCTGTTGATGTCATCGACGCCAAACTGAAGCTCTCGCGCCAACTCTAAGCGGAGGAATGCCGAGTCAATAAAAAGCACACAAACAGTGATTGGGCACTCACGTGGTTCTTTTCGAGTGACTCACCTGCCCAACTTAAACCCAGTTGCTCTGATATGATGTTGATCTTGACCTCAGTCCTCTCCATTGCATTCACTGTGGCTGAAGACATGAAAATCGAATCAACTTAAAAACTCAGGGAAACTATGAGGCACACACAGCGGCCACTTGCACAAGCATCCGACAGATGAGCTGCATTATATTCCGCGCTCACAGAGATCTTCAGTTTGGAGGTATTATTGTCGTGACAAATTTCAATGTGTTTATTATTGTGGTGATAGTTTGTCGCTCTCATTGTGAGAGCTACAAACATGAGTAACTGACAACCCTCCCCAAAAAAAGGTTGACAACTCCCTGTGTTTATATGGTGGCAAAGCATCACTTTTCTATTATGATTAAATGAAGCTCCTCTCCTTAGTTCAACATAGTTTCTTGGCTCCAAGATGCCACATGCAACTTATTTGACGGCTGGTGGAACAATTGTGACATTTCGGTCAGGGACAAAGCGGAGGTGGTGCAGGAATGTCACCATGTCACCTACTGGTTTTATGTTTTTAATGAGTAAATACATCTGAAACAATTTTATTCGAATCTACAATTTTTATTCGTTTACATAGTTTTCATTATTTTTACCACGTGTTGATTTAACATTTTTTTTATCCAGGTAATTGAGAAGATATTCTCTATTATTTGTGTTGTACGCTTTCTGTTCACTGTTATCTAAGTTTCAGCTGCAGTTGTTTCTACAGTGGGTTCATTATTGAGTTGACAAGGCTCGAGGCCTGAGCAAAAAAAACCGAAAATTCGACAAAATAAATATACAGTATAAAACTCTAGAAATAGACGAATTTGCGAACAGCAAATATGCAGCAAGACATTGTATTATATTCACTAAAACAGTTTATATGTACATTTCATCCCCTGTCCTGGATTTCAGTTCATGGTGGGGTGCCAAATGAGTGGAAACGAGTTTCCATGAAATTTGTTTCTAGTCATGCTTACCTGCACACAACCACTGCTCTGTAAGGAAGGAAATAAGCAATCACGTTGACATCAGATGCATTCAGGTGCCAGTCCCAATAATCATTGAAACATTCTGTACCCAGAAGTGCATTGTAGCTGCGCTGTGTCCAAAACAGACAGAAAAGGCCTTGCTCCAGAGAACCACTTCTGTCCTCCAGCAGCAATAAATCGTGATGTAATTACTGGGACTCAGTAAAAGAGCTCCTCTGTCTTACTCCACTGCGAGGTCCTGCCCATTACCAGAGCTAAGCTAAAGAGCTAATGCTGACTAGTATCTGCCGCCATGCCAGTGGAAATCGCAGTGGAGACACCAGCGCCATGCAAACCAATATCACGGGAGTCATTCGTCGGTTCCAGGACACCCAGAAAGGCAAGCAAACCGGGTGCCGCGGAGCCTTCGGATGGGGCGGGGGGCATCTTTTGGCACACGTTCAATTCAATTTTCCTCAACTGCCCTGCAAAGAACTTTGGGGAGGTACAGAAGAGCAGTACGTTACATCCAAGGCTCGGTCGTTTGTGCCATGCGTGCAGAGTGGGAAGCAGAGAGCTTTGAGTAAAGGACAGTGCAAGACTTAGTGCCCATCTCCACTGTGGATATTTCAGGAGACGGCTGCGGGGAAGAGAATGAACTCACCCAAACTGGGCTCATTCAGAGCACTGTAGCGCTCCCTCAGGGCGAGAGGTGTTAAAGTTCTCCTGCGTTCTTCACTTCCGACAACCTAGGAAAAAAAAAGAAAGAAATAACACAACTCAACAGACAGTCTCCGAATTCAGGCGCAATGTGCACACACGAAGGTCTTACCTTGATGCAGGGTGGCATTGCTATGTTGAGGTTGCATAGCACATGCTGAGCATCCTCATACTTGGTGCACTTTCGCAGGAAGGATAAAAACCCCGTGGCATCCTTGTTGCTGTCTCTGACCTAACGGATGACAAAGGAGCAAGGCGGTGGAGAAGGACAGAGAGAGGAATCCAAAAGAAGTGGAGAAAGCAGTCGGGGAGGTGAAAGAGAAAATATGGGGGAAAGAGAAGAGGAAGGGGGGAAGAAAGAAGAAAAATCAAATCAAAGCCAACATGAGACCCCACCACAATGTCGCAGGCACGTGGCGCGGTAGTAACACGGGGGCCAGAAGCAGGGGGTGGAAGCAGTCCACAGGCAGTGCGAGAGGGTGACATTTACCTGCACGCTTTACCTGGACGCCTGTCAGACCAGACAGTTAGAGAGTGACCGCCAGAGAGAGAAAGAGAGACAGTGAGACAGACACAAACAGACAGGCAAGGCCGCAAGATTGCGAGGCTGGCGAGGAACGTGAGGGAGTCGCGGCACATGCAGACGCGCTCACAAGAGAGTCGCTACAAACAAACGGAAGCTGCGCATGTATCTGGTGGACGGGGGCACAACAGTACAGCAATCACCGTGACACAAAGACACACATGGCAAACTCAGGGAACAAATCACCAGGATATCAGAACAACATCAATATTGTCAGGAACAAACAAAAAAAAACAAACAAAAAAACGCAAAACAGAAGTGATATGAACAACAGACCAAAAAGGCCACAGACCAGTAACGGACAATTATCATGATACATAGAATCTATATATTGTCAGGGCTTGACATATGTGAGAGGAGTTTGTCATGATATATTATTTGACATTATTATGTCATGAATAATGTTTTGGCAATTAAATGAAACACTGATAAACGATTCAAAGGACGACTCTCTAAATGCATATAGATAACAATAAGGGCCCAACTTCCGTTCAGTCTAACTGTGCGCATGGCTGGAGTTTTGTTTCTTTTGGTATTGTTTGTAGACGGGCGCCCATTTTGTTTGTAGACTGCGCAAAACGGGCGTTTGCGCAGTTTTGGGTGTGAACACAGCTGACTTGATTCACTCCCCTCATTCACTTTAAATGCAGCTCAGAAAAGGCACACGGTCTACATAGTGGAAGCATAACAGACTTGCTGAAGTCCGTGCACGAGATCGGAGCACGGCAAGAACTTTTATAAGCGACTGCGAGATCTCCACTTGCTGATTATGTAAAGATGGCTGCTATGAAGTGTGCAGTTGGAGAGCGCACCTTCCACCCCCCCGATCGTGCGTCTGTGTGTGCGCGACTGTGAAAAAGGATGAAGATGACTACAGAAATCGGAGTCATTTACAAAAGTTAAGTGAAACTTCTTCATTTGTATGCAAGACTGTATTATGCTTCTGCCCGATGGCAAGTCATGCACACCAGAAGGAACTGCTTTGAATTAATCATGAGGCAGCGATCGTATAAGTCTTAAATTCTATTTAATTATGTGATTCATGTGTGCTTGGATAAAGTACAATAGTACACAGCATTGTACTGTGCTCCCTTTTAAACTTAATACCCCAAAGATGTGACAGCGAACAGACCCAAAATCACCAGAGGAGGCTTTGGGGAGGGTCAGCCGAGGCACAGCAGAAGAAGTGATTCGGTCAACGCAGGCAAATTCACGCTACACGCTACAACATGAACACAACGCCGTAATTTAAGTGCCTTTCGAGTCACAGACCTTGACAGAAACGGGCAGCCGGTTATCCCTGAAGGCCTGGAAGCTGAAGGTGCGAGGCTGCTGTGTGGCTTTCCTGATTGGCACCAGGTTCCCGGAGCATTCCAGATGTAGCGGCATACCCTCCATGAGCTTAAAAAATATATATGCAAATAAAAAATGAGATGACGTCTAAGAACCAATCAACCAAGACATTAAAAAAAAAAAAAAAAATTTGATCAAAAAATTTATTCTGAGCCCTCTTAGTTCTCAGTAGCTCAATGAGTGTGTAGTCCGCAGACCCAAGCTACCGGTGCGTAGGGGGGCGGAGGAGCACAGAGAGGTAAGATGCGGCGAGGCCATTGAAAGATTTGAAAACAAAAAATCGGATCTTTTTTTGTTTGAACTACTTTATGCCTCAAGCCAGCAGGAAAAGGCGCCAGGCTACTACTCGGTCAGTTGCTTAGCAACCAGCGCCAATTATAGACATGCTAGTGCCTGGCCGCCATCCTGTACATCACAGAAATCTCAGTGCAGTGTCACAAGGGCACCCTGGAGTGCTTGCCATATTTTATGCATTCTGTTTATCAATTTAACTGAAAAAAATCCACAATGAATATTGCTGGAATCCCACAAAAATATTTTAAATGCATTTGTTAGCAAGTGACAACAAAATATTCGGAATTAAATTAGAATATTAAATGTTCTGAACATCAGATTGAAGAAACGCTGCTGAATTGGACACATTTAATTTCTCGGCACGTTTCCACTGCGACGCAAAAGAATCTTTTTCGACTGAGCGCTGACCTCGATGTCTCGACTCCGTGCCACTTCGGTGAAGTTTTCGTGCAACTCCAGCGTCTTGTCCATCTTGTCATCGGTCATGCAGTAACAACGCAGGCGTCCTTCCCGCGCCTCGTTCATCTTTGCAAAGATGACAAACTTTGCCATGTAAGGCACGGCCATCAGTTCCCGGTACAAAAGGTTGGCGAAGGTCACAGCCTCTGCCGTGCGGGGACAATCTGCGAGCCAGAACCTGTGGTAAAAGCAGCAAAAGAGATTGCAGCCACTGATTTTATACAACGGGGGGGCTGTGTCACCACAGAGGTTCTCAATTTTTTTTGTCATCACTTTATTTCCTGCCTTAATGTTTCATTCCCATGATGTTCTATGATGACATTTGAATTATGAGGGTATCGTTAGACGGGACCCGGGACTCCCATTTTGAGAACCCCTTGCAATACAACTATGAAGTGATTGTGACAAGGGAGCTCACACCTTGCAGAGACGTTCGTTGTAAAATTGGCACAGCTGTTTGCATACATCAGCTTGGTTGTTCCGGTGATGTCCTCCCACTGAGCAGGTGCTGTCCCACCTGAGACACGACAAGCACACAGCGTCATTCATGCCCCGTTAACCTTCTTCATCCCCTTTGACGCATTTCTCAATGTAAGAAAGGCTGAGTCGTTGCAATGTCATCCCAAAGAAAAAAAGTTAGTTGGGTCAACTACCAATGACACTGCAGAGGAGGCGCAGGCTGGTGGTGTCACCCTCGCCGGCATCACGAGGGCTCTCGCGCCAGGACGGCGGGAGCGGAATACGCAGGCCGATTGGACGGTGAAATTTGCGCCTGCGTGGTTCGATCGTGACCACGGGGCTGAAGGTCGCCTGGTTGCCGAGTTGTCGAGTCAGCAACTCATCGGGGATGGGCTGGGCCTGAGAGGACGAGCCGATAAAAAGGCTTTGGAATAAAGATCCTTGAACAGAAGAGGTGTATGTCATTGGAAATACCGCGCACCAAAAAAAGGTCAGTTATCTTGACGTAAGATTAGGAAAATAGAAAAAAAAAGCAGCAAAAAAGGAAGCAAAATATGCTTTTTAACTTGAACATCAAAACGCCCGCCATACTCACACATGCAACCAACTTATAAGTCATTTCAGATCAGTGCATCAGCTCGGTCAGTGTGGCTCACAACTTAAATCAAGGAACTGAGGAGTGAAGAATGGCTGGATAAAAGAAAAAAGAAAAAACAAACAGAAACAGAAAAAAAGCATAAAAGCATAAAAGCAACGCCGATTTCAGACACATGCCATTGCCAGTAATCAGTAATGTGACAAACAATGAGAAAAAAAATGTACAGTGAACTGACAGAAACAGAACTTGTCATATATCACAACACAGGTGCATGTCAACAAATTAAACATATTTCATTGGTTAAAAAAAACAAACAAAAAAAAAAACCCTCATCCAGACTGGATGCATTTTTTTTCATAACATATAAATTAAAACATATTGTTGTTTCTTCTGAAATATGAATGAATGAATAGTGAATTTGAAGTTTTCGTTAGCTGCAATCATTTAAGCCACAGGTGTCAAAGTCAAGGCCCGGGGGCCAGATCTGGCCCGCTACATCATTTTATGTGGCCCGCGAAAGCAATTCAAACATGGCAAATACCATGAAGCTTGCTAAAATATGTACCAAAATTTCACACTCTCATATGTAATAAATGAGAGAGGCGTTGTAAGCACATTTTGTTGCCAAACACCCCATTACAATCACTTAAACAATAGTTCCATAAACTATTATTCTTGACTTCTTTGTATGATTTCAATCATAATGGCCCTCCAAGGAAAACGGTACCTAAAATGTGGCCCGCGACGAAAATGACTGACACCTCAGGTTTAAGACAATCATCAAAACTATACACCCAAAAAATTTCCGACAAATTGAGAGAGAAGCACCTCGACGTTCGTTTCAAGTCGTCTCAATGTGCAAGTCGCTACTTACCTGCAGTCCCAGTCTCACTCTTTTGGTGACAGCCGTCTCGGGAAAAATGGCCTCAACGCGGGGCACCAGTTTACTGCTCAGCCGCCCGCCCTCTGGACCAATCAAATCACTCTCTTGCTGAATGCGGGAAACCACGGCAAAGTACAGGGGGAAGTCAGTGGAGATGATCCGACGAATCCGTTTCTTTTCCAACTCCTCTTGACTTTCCAGGTCTACGGATAGATGGAACATTACATGAAAAGGGGACGACGAGGAAGTGGAGATGAATGGGGGCAAGGGGGGAGTGTCAGAGAAGGTCGCAAAGAAAGTTAATGGTGCATAATTTACTTCAAGTGGAGTAAAAAAAAAAAGTGCACTCATAAAACTATTCACTCTCAATGTCCTTGTTTTATATTTTAACACCATAAATCACAATAAAGGCTATGTCCTCTTCAAGTGTCTCGTGGACGGGGTTTTCCATCTTGCTAACCTTCATCCATGCCATTCAGGATGGTTTCCAGCACTTCATCGCCGTAGCGATTCCGGTGTTCTTTCCAGACGGAGCCGTTCTCACTACGGAGGACCACGAGCTCGCGGTCCCCTCGAGCCAGTGAGGCAAAATGTGGGATCTCCACTATAACTGGCCTGTGAATTAATAATCATACCGTATATCATCATTAGCAACTTCACAGTCATTAAAAAAAGAGAAATTTACATTTCCTAATAGTACATTAATCAAACTCTTCTTTTTTTTCATTTTAAGCCCCAATCACCCACCCTCCCCCCACGACTGTCCTAAACTACCATATTGGCCCGAATATAAGACGGCCCTGATTATAAGACGACCCCCTCCTTTTCAAGACTCAAGTTTGAAAAAAGACTTTTTGAACACCAAATTAATTTTTATACAGAAAATAATTACAGTACATGTAAAACAAATGATTATAACAACATATTTGAGAGAAAAAAGCAAGTTATTTTGCCTCATTCAAATCTTAATATCTGAAGATTTAATCATGTAAACTAAAGTGCAATCACATTCATAACTGAATGGCTTCTGGTTTTTGAAATGTAAATTACGTCATAACTTCTCCTCAGCTGCCGGTTAACCTGGCCGATCTTCGATCCACTTTTCTCCAGATTGTCGCTACGTTTCTCCATTTTCTGTTATCTCTTCTATTATTTTCCTCTCTTTTCTTTCTTACCGCTATTTTTTATTTTTCTTCTTCGTGCTCCTGCTATTTTTATTTTTATTCTTCCTGGCAGGGGTTCACTTTGGCCTGGGTAGTCAAGTTCAGCATTCGCTTCATTGATATCTGGTGCCATCTAGCGTCGTGAATGGGTATAATATCTAGATCCCGAATATAAGACGGCCCCACTTTTTCAGTCTTATTTCAATGCCAAAAACACCGTCTTATATTCGGGCCAATACGGT